CTCACATATATTTCAGTGAATGGAAATGAGAGATTAGATCTTGCTTTATTTGGGTCCCTAAATGTCTTTTTGAAGCATTCAAAAAGCCAGTGAATAACAAACCCAAATACTTCTTCATTCGGGATCTATCTTCCTGCAGAGTACAAGTGCACAGTTCTAATCCAAAACCTGAAAGTGGTTATTTAAACACCAGGAGTGAAATCCTGGCCCAACTAAAGGCAATGGGAGTCTTGTCATTGACTTAAATGGGATCAGGATTTCACCCACACTTTCTTTCAGGATAATAAACACTACGACCACATGCTACAGGGATAAGCACCATATAAAGTTCTTCAATAGGTAAACAGCTATGTTGCTTTTTAAATATCTGTTGATATGTAGAGTTGCTATTTCTCCCCTACTTAAATTAATTTCATGCTTGTAAAAGATTCAGATTGACAGACCTGCAGATTACTACCCTGTTTCCCCGAAAGTAAGACATCCCCCGAAAATAAGACCTACTTCCAGTTTTGCCTCTCGCTGTAATATAAGGCATCTCCCTGAAAATAAGACCTCCCTGATAATAAGGCCACCCCGGAATATAAGGCCCCGAAGCTCCAGGAAAAATAAGACCTCCCCTGAAAATAAGACCTAGCGCATCTTTGGGAGCAAAAATTAATATAAGACACTGTCTTATTTTTGGGGAAACAGGGTATGTATCCCTAGAGCAGGGTCAGCATGGGCAACAGAACTGCAATTATCCTCACAGCTGCTCCAACATGAGTCTTGCTTCTAGTTTTATTTCCAGACCTACTCAGTCTCTGGTCTTATTTGGGGGGCTACAAACAGTTGCCAACAGAGGTAACAGTTCAAAACGTAGTGGTGATTATGATTTTGTGATGTAGACATGTTCTCTAGAAAGTGGGCTGTGACAACCAATTCATTTCCCTGTTCCTATAAGATAAAACCTTTTGGTTATTACTGATCTAGACTGGATTCAAACAAACAGCCTAGAAGACTCCATATCCCATTTCCCTAAGCCATGCACTCTCTTTTTTTATTACTTTCTGTGTTGAGTTTTACAGAGCCTTAGTGGAGAAGAGCTCGGCTCTGATTGTGTTGGGCTCCCACAGATGCATCCCTTAATACTTTTGACGTATATTTTGTTCTACAAATATAGTCCTAACTCCAGGTATCCCTTCCTTTGCAATTGCTAATCCCTACTGAGTCTCCCCTGTGTAGAGTTGCCCTGTACAGGAACATTTTCCCAGCATTCCTGGTGTGGGGTGGGGACAGGTATCCCTTTAAATTTGGCAAAGTCCAGCAGCTTTAGCTCTAAAGTGGCTATTTTGTAGCTGGCTGTTATTGCATCTACCACTTTTCAGTGGGTAAGTATTCAAAATTCCTGTTTTTTTTTTTTTGCTTCTCTTCTGCTGAGAAAATCATATATTCTCACATATCTAAATGTTTCCATTATTGTTTCTGGAAAGAAATTTTAAAAAATTGATTTGCTTGAAATGTTCCATGAAACTTTTTGCTTTTTCACCAACAAAGTCATTTACTTTTATTGGGGAGGGGGAACCTCTCACTCACTCTTACATTTTTTTACTTACCCACCCTTTTGCCAAAAGAAAAAAGTAAAAGTGAATTTTTTCTCACTGAAATAGAATTAAACTTTTTGAAAACGTTTAAAGATGTTGTTGTGAAGTGAGTTTTTTGACAAATTTCAGCCAAATGTGTTTTTTTTGTTTTTTGTTTTTTGTTTTTTTTTTTGGTAAAAACGTTCATTGCGATTGAAGAGGCATTTTCCATTGAAAAAGATCTTGCTGGGAAGTTTTTGACCAGCTCTAGTTAGTTTTTTTTTTTGTTAGAAATGTAAATGTTATATTTAACTATAAAAATTGATTGCATATGAGTGGCTGTGGTTGTAATCAGGTAATGAATTGTATACAATATGTGATCATGATTATTATTATTTATTTGTATTTTTGTAGTGCCTCTGAGCCCTAGCTACTGACTAGGATTTCACTGGGCTAGAGGCTATACAAACAGAAAACAAAAAAGACAATCCCTGCCCAAAGGATTTACAATCTAAGTTTAAGACAAGAGACAACAACTGGCTACAGACCACAGGTGGTGAAGAACAAGGAAACAATGAGGCAATAGTGCTCAGCATGATAGGCTGTTTTTTGAATTGTTTGCTTGCTTTTTTTCTGAGAAAATAGGACACCTCTGGCATTGTGTGAGCCAAGGGAGAATAATCTTGTAAATCTAGAGCTATTGACAGTGATGGATTTTTTTTTTAGGGTGTTCTTCCAACAAATAATATGTACAACATGCTTATTTAACTATTTTCGCTTCTTTTCAAGGATAGGATTTTTTTGTGTAAATGTAATCTGACATGAGTTGCACATAGCAGTCTGCACAGAACAATGCATGTTTACTGTCACTTTTTTAAATTACATGAAAATCTGAATTATATTCCATGTAATCAATGGCAGATTTGAAGCCTAAGAGGCTAGTTTATCTAGTTTTGAAGAGAAAAGCAGTGCCAATATAGGGGATGGATTCCAGTAGCCCATAGCAAAGAATTTCCCTATAAAGGAATACAGATTAAAAATAACACTATGACGATCTGATTGGGAACAACCTCAGAACTGAATGGGCAGAAGCTTTTGAAAAGAGGAAAGCAACATTCCTCTTGTCTATTTAATCCAAACAGAAACTTCAAAGAGACAATAAAAAGAAGGTACAGCACTCATCATGTTTTTCTTTTTGGGGATCCAGACTACAGTGTTGCTTTGAGGAACAGCTGTATTTTCATTCCAAAAGAGATGATGTGATAAAGGAGCATAAATGGCAATTCAAAAAATATACATTCAGAACAGATGTTGGGGATGGTGGGTTTTTTCCCTTTCATACCATATTTATCAAATATGCTATCATGTCAGGTCAGAGGGACAAGGCAAGATAATCAGACAGCTTCATAGGTGAGAAGGAAAAGCCTGAGTGGAGATGAATCCTGCGTGGAATGGCTTTTGAATTTTTACCTTATGGCTAGCCTGCCTTTGAATCTTCCTCAGAGATGGAATTTTGTATTAATTGGATTAGGTTAAGTGCTTTGGTTTAAGTTATTAGAAACAGTGAAATTAAAACATTTTAAAGTGTCCTAGGATAAAACTTTCACAAGCAGCAAGGAGCCTATGTCATACTGACAGTCTTTTGGCTGCTTTCAAAAAATTTACCCCTCTCACTGATTTAATTTTAATATAATACATAAAACAAAAATGTTTTTAACATCTTATGAATGTGTTACAACATTTTTCTGTGATTCATTCAGTGTACTGTAGACACATTCTGAATGTCGAAGAGCAAAGAGAATATTTACAAACAGGCATCCAAATTGAAACATGACTTTTTGTAGAAGGAATCATGTTGTTTCTCCTTTACAAATAGGGCCCATACTCTGTATAATTTATTAAATTTAAAATACTAAAGTATGATTAATCCAAGAGATTTAGAGAAAACTTTGTGAGGTGCTTTTGTTTCATTATTACAATGTAATTTCAATATTTCGCATTAAGATTAGGTGTTTTCACTCTCTAAAGATTTATGCCAAAATTTTCAATAGGTTGCATAGGGCAAGTGGCTATTGCCTAATTGGGACATGGATTTTCAGAACAGCTTGCTAGTCAGGCCCAAATGCCCTGATTAATACAAGAGGGTAGTATCAGGACACGGTTAAGGAGCCATCTGCTCAATCTAGATTTTCAAAAGCCACAGGCTTGACTAAGTCAGCAGGTTCAGTTTTTACCATTCAGTAGTCTAGCCACTCATTTGTTCTGCAAACCTGGGATCATAAGTGCATTCTGATTAAACAACCAAACACACAGGAGAGAATGAGTGAGAGTGAATCTGTTAGAGAGCAAGCCAGCAAGATAGCAACGAAGCAACAGTTACTATAAGGGTCTTGGGGAGAAGGGTTGGGACAGAGGAAATAGGAGACTAGCAGGGAGAGTGGGGAGATAAGGGAGATGGTATATCTTGAGAAAATAAGGGAACACAATATCTGACGTGCTAGGATGGTATATCTTGAGGAGGAGGAGAGCCAAGTTTTCCCCAGAGATGCCAATACTGTCCATGTAACCCTCTGAGCCCAGGAAAACTTAGTATTACCTGACTGAAATGCAGGCTCACCCACAAACCATTATACACCTTTGTGATTAGTGAGGATGACATACAGAAGTTTTATCATCAAGATCATCACAACCTTGGGCATATTAGCCACTGGGTCCTCACAGAGGATACCATTGGCATCAAACCAGCTTCTTAGAAGCTCAATGACACGATGAAGCCAGTGACTGAAACACTGACTGAAACAAATGACTGGTGATTATGAAGGAGATGAGTTTGCCTGCTGTCCAGAATAAATGGCTCTTATGGCATACTGGCAATGGTATCTGCAGAAGAGTCAGATTGCTCACCATCTCCTGCAAAAGGCAGGGCACTAGGGTCTAGGGTGCCCTTTACATGAGTAAGGATTCAAGGCATTAGCAGGGGAGCCAATGGTAGGATCACGGTCAGGCAACAGTGGTGTCGATGTGAAGACATTTTCTGTTTCCTTTTCAGGGTTATGCCAAAAAATATGGCTTCTGGGTCTCCAATTAACTGTGGTAGTGGAAGTGGTGTTGGAGAGGAACGGGGAAATCACTTCACCTGTCCATATACTTGTTTGTTCTAAAACTGTGTGCTGGGGAAAGGGGAGGAGGGGGTTGAAATGAGTTCTCATCAGTTGTCATTTATGAATTGCCTATATAGGGAAAGCAAGAAAGAAAAATTGAGACCTATTTATTTTTCCAACTTATAGAGCGCACCTATTGCCATGTATTTCTAGACACAAACAACAGATGTTTACAAATATACAATAATAAATCCAAACTGACAAACTCACCAATACTTGTAAAGGAACTCTGTGAGGTTTCAGATGTATCAAACAGATTATAACATACAAATACAATTAATTATCAGCAAAATAGCTAATTAGTAAGTGTTAAGCTAAAGCTAGCTATACAATCATTTCCCAGAGTATTAGCACACTTCATCTTACTCAGTTGTATTAGCACCTTGGCACCGAGTCGTTCAAGGGCTCCCAAATATTGTTACATCACGACTCCTGGTGTCAAAGACTTAGTATAGTAATATGTAAAAGACTATTTCCTCAGAAGTTCTTCATGTGAACATTCAGTATACAGACAAAACAGTACTTGTTCAAGTTTCTGAAGGTTAGCCACTATTTTATCTATACTGTAAAAAATCCTTCAATATTGTTGGCAACTGAAGTTGGGGGATAAGATGCAGTCTTGCTCTTCCTATGCAATTTCGGATACATAGTCGGCAGAGTTGGCAAAGAGAGCATGGAGTAGCTACAAACAGATAAGAGATTTAATTAAGTAAATGTTCAGTATCCTTAGGAGTTTACAACATGGGGTATATTTAATATTATGGAGTACCTAATAAACATGCATTTTTAAAAATTCTATATATCAGTCTTATTGACCTTACACAGTATAGTTTCTCAAAGATATATAACAATAAAAATTATGCTACTCAAACTTTATTAATGATCAAAGAAACAGAAAGAGCAAGGAAACTTGTATTTAAACTAAATATCCAGAAGACTACATAGTAATTAACTCATGCTGTTGTGTTTATATAGCTAATACTTTTTAATTTAAAAAAATTGTTTTTGTGAAAGATCCTCTGCTGACAACTCCAGAGATTGAAGTTCTTTTTATTTATAGTATAGGTACAATATATGCTACACAAATGCAAGTTTCACCATCAATATATTTCAGCCCTTCCCTGTAGGGACCACTTTTAGGAGTTAAAGGGAAGTTCACCTTTCATGCCTATTCAGTTTTGCCCTCTTTGCAGAGGCTTCCAAAAATGCTGCTGGCTGTGATTAGTGTGTGTAAAGGACATCTGACTACTAAGAACTAGACCAACAGCCTTCAGATGGTGATACTGGAGTTGAATTAGTGCCAGGGACACAAAGCTCCCTCAATGGTCACCATTCAAAATGCATCAGTTTTCCCTTATAGAGTTAGCTACTCCTTTAGGGCACCGTGTTACGAAGAAAAGGTTGGGGGGTTGATTTGATCACAGTCTAAGAATCTGCCTGGGGAACTTATAGTTGGTAATGGGCTCTTCAGTCCAGCAGAGAAAGACATCACAAGATCCAATGGCTGGAAGTTGAAGCTAAACAAATCCAAACTGGAAGAAAGGCTTTTTTGTTTTGTTTTACAGTGAGAGTGATTAACCAATGGAACAATTTACCAAGGGTCACAGTGGATTCTCCATCACTAATAATTTTTAAATCAAGATTAGATTTTTTTAAAATAAGATGCTCCAGTTCAAAAGAATTATTTTGGGGAAGTTCTATTGTCTGTCAGACTAGTTCAGGGATCGGCAACCTTTGGCACACGGCCTGTTAGGGAACTCCGCTGGCGGGCCAGGCCGGTTTGTTTACCTGCGGATGCTGCAGGTAAACAAACTGTCCCGGCCCGCCAGCAGAGTTCCCTGACGGGTCACGTGCCAAAGGTTGCCAATCCCTGGACTAGATGATCAGTGGTTCCTTCTGGACTTGGAATCTATGACAGAGAGTAGGGAGAGCAACCCTATGGGCAAGGCTAGGAATTCCACCTGGCCCTCACACAGGCTATGCAGGGAGAAAAGTTGAGGCTACTTGTACCCTCTTTTCCACTGTTCTCCACATATAAAGGCTTGGCAGAATCTGACTCTGAGACATTATTATTATGACGTGTCACAGCTGGAGGTTCATGTTAGATTATCACCGATGTTTTCCCTCAGTTTTCTGGTTCCAAAGCAGACCTTTAATATTTATTTAATGTAGTATTTTTGGCAATGTTTTACTTGTATTTATTTAAGCTGTTAAAGTTAAGGTTGTATATATCAACCCTTCTTTCTCAGATAGTTAAATTCAACTATAAACATTTATTCCACAAAGAAAGTTAGAGTACAAGACTTTAATCTAAAATAATATTCCACACAGGACAGTTTTAAAGAAAAAAAAATATATAGGGCCTGATTTCCCCAAAGTCTCTCTCACATGCATAGTCTTTAAGAGTAATACATTCGGTGGTTTTAAAGCTACATAACAATTTATTAAAGTAATATTTTTGTGCCCGTATGACTCAAATAAGTCTGCTCTTAGATTTTTTTTTTTTTTTTTTTTTTTAACTCAGTACTACTTACTCAGTAATAGAGTTGTTCCTCTTCCCATTCTCTAAACAATTAAATGCAACTACTTAAGAATAAATTTCTAACCCATACGCTGGAAGACACCTGTACAATGCATTTTTTTTTTTAAACTGGGTTTTTATCTAAAAGAATACATAGTACTAAACTGTACTTTCAATCTCTTGGACAAATGATATTTAAAATTATTCTTTAGGAAATTATATTTTAAAAATCAATTAATAAAAATGGATAGGCAAATTGAAGAATTTGATGAAATAATATTCTATTTATGACACAAATCAATAAATGCTAGGACACCAAACAGCACATTTTCAAGACAGGAGGCCCAAAGCTTGTGCACAAATGCACGCAGAATATGCTTGAACTTGTTTGGGCGATGTGATTGCACACAAATAGCTAGGGAACTTAAATAACCATTTATAAGTGCAATCGTATGAATTGCACACACAAATTTAGGCATGTAAATCCATGTAAAACCCAGGCCTCCGGCTTTGTAAATATGCCCTAAAAATTAAGTCTGGGCACACATCTTTCCATTTCCATGAACTATTTTTTAAAAATGAAATTAAAAAAAAAATCCAAGTTTTTTTTGTTTTTTTTTTTTTAAATAAACTGCATGTTAGCCATAAGTTGAAGCTATTTGTTTTTGTTGGTTTGTACCATCACCTGTTAAAGCGAGGAGGCCACATCTTCAGCTGATATAAATTCAATAGTGCTCTGTCAACTTATGTCACCACCTGAAAAACTGGTCTATTTAAAAATATTTTCAATACTTTACATAGCTGGAGGTAGAATTTTTAACTGAGTGTAAACAATCATTTTATAAACCCATTATCAGACAACTTTTACTGATTCAAGTTTGTCCAAGAACAAAAACTATGTATAGAATGATGAACAAAAGTATATTTGTCCCACTTACCTTCATGCAGAAGCAACATTCTCTCCACCAAACCGCTTGGGGCAGCTAAATCTACGGGCCGTTCAAAATCTGTATTCTTGGCATTAATGTCTGCCCCAAATTCAAGAAGTAAATTTACTATCTCTGTACTGGGTTGCTGAGCCGCTGCATGTAGTGGCGTGTCCAAATACTTTCCTTTCTGTACATTAGCTCCTATATAAATATATTGGAGAGACAGAGACAAATAGATTAATTAATGTTAGTGCTAAAAGTTAATGCTTTAAAATCTGGAACAAGATTTTTAAAAATAAGTGTCTGAAGTTACATTCCTAAATTTATAAATAGATATCTAAATAAATGGTCAGAATTTCAAAAGTTCGAAGCACTCCGTGGTCAACGTGAGCTGCTGGGTTGGATCCAGGCCGGGTCACACAGCCCCTTATATTTAACTAGTTTAAAAAACATTCTATGGGTTTTAGAACCAAATTCCTTTTAACTCTCCTCTTCCCTTTCTAGCTCAGCCTCTGTTCTTTGTAAGCAGATATACTGGTATGGAGAAGGGGCCTTTTAAGGATAAAAAGAGAGGCAGACAAACTGCTGAAAAACATTGCAGAAAGGGCAATGGCAGCTTATGGCTCTATACCCACTTTAAACTTTCACTTTCATAGAATCAGAGAAATGTAGAGCGCAAAGGGACATTGAGAGATCATCTAGTCCTCCCTATTCTGAGGCAGGACCAAGTATACATAGACCACCCCGATAGGTGTTTGTCTAACCTGTTCTTAAAAACCTCCAGTGATGGGGATTACTTTTATCCAAGCTAATTTGGGAGCTATTTAACTTTACTACCTTCATTTTTACTATAGAAAAGAAGGAAGTGGCCACTGGTGCTGAAAATGCTTGATATCAGACCACTCAGAGTTGATGTTTTCTTTCTTCCACCCCACATACTGTAAATCAACAACCAAAAGGTTTCCCCTAACAAAAAATATGTCTTAGCATAAAGTTAAAATTAGAGTCCTGCAACTAGAAGCTGTGATAAATGAAGGTGGGGGGGGGGAAATAGTTCCCTTTTATGGACACCCAGCCAGCCAGTTAGCTATAAAATCCCTCTTAATAGCTGTTCTCTCTAATTACTTTACCTGTAAATGGCTAAAAAGTCTCACTGCTATGCATACGTAAAAAGAAGTGAGTGGGCACCTGGCCAAAAGAGCCAATGGAAAGGCTAGAACTTTTTAAAATTGAGAGAAAACTTCCCCTTTGTCTGTCTGTGGTTCTTCTCGGGGAGAGGCAGACAGGGAGTAGTTATGCTGTGAAAAGCTTGGGCCAGGTATAAAAATTTATGAGTATCATACCTAGAAACTATTCATCTAAAACTCCAGATATGTAAGTAGATCAGGAAATGTCTAGGAAGATGCGATTAGGTTTATCCCTTTTATTTCTTTATGGCTTGTGGCTTCCTTTGTGCTAACCCCAGGTGCTTTTGTTTTGCTTGTAACCTTTAAGCTGGACCTCAAGAAAGCTATTCTTGATGCTTAATCCTTGTAGTTTTTTTTTTTTAAATCTAGCAAAAGTCTAAGTCCCAGATGTATTTTCTTTTTTTATTAATAAAATTTAGCCTTTTTAAGAACAGAATTGGATTTTTGTGTCCTAAGAGATTTGTGCACATTTTGTTTAATTAGCTGATGGCAACAGCTGATTTCCTTTGTTTTTCTTCTCAGCTCTTCCTGGGGTGGGGTGGGGTGAAAGGGCTTGAGGGTACCCCACAGGAAGGATTCTCCTTGGAAGTTTAATACAAGCCTGGAGTGGCTACTATTAATTTTTAGAATCCTTGTGGGCCGCCACCTTCTGCACTCGAAGTGCCAGAGTGGGGAATTAACTTTGACAGAAGCCTAGTTTTGTTTAGCTGAATACATCTTACTGTAAAAGTGTGCAGTATCAGAAGATGTTAATATTTTAGGTAAATAAACTTGTACCTGCATAAAGAAGTTTTCGAATGCAATGGATCTGCTGTGAAACACAAGCTACATATAGAGGTGTTCCCAGATGAGGAATGTCTTGGTCAACATCTATGCCCCAGGAGATCAGCACTTCCAGACATTCACTGTGACCTGCCAACAGAGTATGACATAGTTTGCTTGCCTCTTCAGTTAGATGTTCCATTTACGAAACCTGATATATTTCTTAACCCTATATAATGTACTTTGTCAACTATTCCATGTATGCTCAGAAGCTAGTTTTTTACCTCTACTGGCTGCTTCGTGAGTCGGTGAAGGGAGACACGACTCCCACTGAGCTTTGGCACCATACTCCAACAAAAGCTCTGCACAAGATGCACTGCCTCTTGAACATGCATTAAATAATGGGGTCACTCCATCAATTGTTGTAGCATTTACCTAGAATAGAAAAGATATGTCTAAGATGGGAATGAAGTAAGGGATGCATTCTTAACTGATAGTGTTTTAAAATAAGATATAGCTGAAATATGCTTGATACATCAACAAATACACTATTTACCATAACATCGCTTTATTGCACTCAACTTCTGTACAGTTCTTATCTTCCCACCCCACCCCTCGTTATTTGCATAATGGTATGCTAATTTAAATATGCTAAACTATATCCAAGAAAACATAACTGACCATAATACTAAATCTAAATAAGTGGCCTGACTTTCAAAAGTGCTGAGTACTCAGCAGTTCTCATTGACTTCAAAGTTCTAAAGTTTTCTTTTCATTATGGAAAATTCCATTAGCACTCCCCAATCTCTATCATCAGATGATTCTTTCTAGGTGCTCCACAAGCTCTAAAATTAGCCTATAACCATGAAGAGCTAGTGTTGTACTCCACCCCCAAAAAACTCAATTTAAAATAATTAAATTGATAAGTATTTTTTAAAATGTTCCTCCTGTGCTAGTCCCCATTTTAAGGAAAGGGAATTTCTCTGGAAGCTTTACTACTGTATAGTTGTGTGTGTAGAGATAGCATGGTACGGTTGAGAAATGCAGAAGCATACCTAAATACTGTAATTGCATACGCTTTTATTTGTAAATCTTGTGCTCCCTTTTCCCTGTTCCCCTCACTGTTTGTTGTTCTCCCTTGTTGTGTCCTGATTCATATTTAGACTATAAGCTCTCTGGCACTGGAAACATGTCTTTTTCTCAGTTTTTGGGGAAACATGTATGGGTTCTGTAGAAACAATAAATGTTTATGTTCTGTAGAAATAATAAATATACATTCAATTTACAATGCTTACATTGGCCAGAGTGCCTCAATTTTATGTCCAATTTCATTCTTGCTTTCTCCCCTGGTTTTCTCATCTATTTTCTGTTCTCTGTTCTGCCTATCCTCTATGTGATCTTTTCTCTCTCCCCTCTACTTCTGCTGTCTTCTCTCTTCTCCATTATGCAACAATCCCATCAGTCTCCTTTGCTGTCAATCAGCAAAAACTTTTAAAAAAATCAACTATTACTTAAAAACCACAAAAGGCAAACCTACTGTTGTTAACAAACCAACATACTATGGAGCAGGAGAATGTGGAGAGCTTTGGATGAAAAATCAAGGAATAGATCCCTTTCAATGAAATAAGGTCAGTGCATATGAAAAAGATACTTACATTTGCCCCTGCTTCAAGAAGGATTCTTGCACACCCTACATGATCTCCCAGGCAGGCTTCATGTAGTGGAGTGACTTGGTCAATTGTCAGAGTATCCACATTGTAACCCTAAACAGGATAGGACCCACACATAAAGGTAAGACAAAAGCTATTCAAAGCTGTTAAGTCTTCAACATTGTTAGTTGTAAGCACCACAGTTTATTAGAGCTGGGTGAATAATGGATTTTTCAGTTCACTGGCAATTTAAAAAAAGAATGTTTAGCTTCAAGTTGAACCAAAAATGACATTTTTTAAATTTTTCAGTGAATCAAAAAGTAATTTAGTTTTGACTCAAAAATGCTTTATTTCAGTAATATTGAAACAAAATGTTTTGTTTTGTTTCACCCTGAACATTTGTTTCAATTTTCAGGCATTTTGATAAAAGCAAAAGAAAGGAGAACTAGATTTACAAAACAGGGAGAGGAGGAGATGCTGCTGCTTTCAGTATCCCTTCTCTTATAAGCTTTATTCCAGTGGTTAGGGCAGTCACCTAGGATATAGGTGACCCAGGTTCAATTCCCTCCTCTGCCTGATGTGGAGAAGGGATTTGAATTTAGGTTTCCCTCATAGAAGGAGAAAGTCCTAGCCACTGGGCTATGGGATATTCAGCTATGGTGGGGGCTTTCCTAATCTTGAAGCTGTTCCACTTTTTATAAATAATTAAATAGTCATCTGAGCAGGGACTTGAACTTGGTTCTCCCACCTACCAGGCAATAGTTGTTTTTACTATTTCTCTGGGCCAATGACTGTGCATTGCAATTCATAGTCACTCATAATGACAGTGGACCGTCATAGGGCCAGAAAGATAGTGAGAATGACTCAATAGCCTGGTAGTTAAGTGACCCATCTCCCAGGTGAATGCCAAAACCACTAGACTAAAGTCTATAAGGGAGGCAGAACTACCACCACCATCTCCTCCTGCTGCTGTTTCTGCTGCCACCATTGTTTTATGACTCTACTCCTCCTTTCCTTTGCTTTAGCCAAAGTGCCTGAAAATAGAAACAAATTTTGTGTCAAAATGAAACATTTTGATCTTACTAAAATGTTTTGACACTTTCAGTTTGGTCTAAACCAGATGTGGGCCAACTATGGTTGGCCCGCGGTACCATCCTGCCCGGCCCCTGAGCTCCTGCCCGGGGAGCCTAGTCCCCGGCCCCTCCCCCGCTGTCCCCCCCTCAGCCACGCGGGCCACACTCTGGCCTGCCGCTCCCATTGGGCAGCGTGGGGAGCGCAGTTGGCTCTGGTCGGGTGTCACGGCTGCGAGTTCCTGCTGCTGGCGGGGAGCGGGGGGGTTGGGAAAGGGAGTGGAGGCGGTTGGATGGGGCGGAGGTTCTGAGGGGGTGGTCAGGGGATGGGGAACGGGGAGGGTTGGGAGTGGGAGTCCCGGGGGGCCTGTCAGGAGGCGGGGCTGTGGATAGGGGTCGGAAGGGCAGTCAGGGGACAGGGAGCAGGGGGGAGTTGGATAAGGGGGTAGGATCCCGGGATGCAGTTAGGGGCAGGGGGTCCTAGGAGGGGGTGGTCAGGGGATGAGAAGCAGTGGGTGGTTGGATAGGGGGTGGGAGTCCCGGGTGGGGGCTGTCTGGGGGCGGGGGTGTGGATAGGGGTCAGGGCAGTCAGGGGACAGAGAGCAGGGGGGTTGGATAGGTGGTGGGGGTCCCGGGAGGGCAGTCAGGGGGCGGGAAGTGGGAGGGGGCGGATAGGGGACAGGGACCAGGCTGTTTGAGGAAGCACAGCCTTCCCTACCGGCCCTCCATACAGCTGCGCAACCCCGATGTGGCCCTCGGGCCAAAAAGTTTGTCCACCTATGGTCTAAACTATTTGGTGAACTAGACATGAATGTGTAAATAGTTTTGGTCGACCCAAACTGCATTTTTTGATGAATAAACTATTCATCTGAAAAGTTTCACCCAGCTCTATTTACAATATTCTATACATAATAAAATATACCTTGTGAGCACAAAAATGAATGCATGCAGAATCTTTCATTATTTGATTTAGAAAACAGTAAGAAAAATAGCTTCTAAACATTCACATAGTTGTCTACACTTCACATTTGAAATACTTAGACTTCCTAGAGCCACAAATTCAAATTCCAAGAGAGTAAACTCAGTCATTCTTCCTTATAAGATTGATAAAATGACTGAGCTCCGTGCAGTTTTCTGTGGATAGGTTTTTTTAGATTCTTGAAATCTGATATCTTTTTCAGAGTCATAGAGTTGAAGGCCAGAAGGGACCACCATTTAGTCTGACTTCCTGTATATCAGAGCCCATCAACACTACCCAGCACCCACACACTAAACCCATCAACCAAAATTAGACCAAAATATTATAACCCACAGGAGACTAGACTATTATGTGCCACAGGGAGAGAATAACAGGGACTGAGATGCACCAATGCCTGATGACCCTGCAAAGGCAGGAAAAAAGAGGATGTTTGGTGCCACCTGAGAGAACCAGCCCACTCCATCCAGTGTCCCATTTCCAGCTATAGTCATCTCTGATGGTTCAGAGGAAGGAAACAGAAAAACAAAACAAATCACCAAAAATAAATTGGTGGCGGGGAGGCTGGAGGTGGCTGGCTGAAGACCTGAAGCATGAGCTTTTAGGAACATAAGACATAAACCAGCAATGACCCCAGGGCTGCTCTGTCCTGCCCCCTACCATCACAAGCAACCCCATCATACAACTGCACTCAAATTTGTCCAGCTCTCTCTTAAAACTAATTAAATTGTTTGCCCCCACAACTCCTATTGGGAAGCCATTCCAGAATCTCACTCCATTAATGGTTAGAAGCCGTCTTCTAATTTCCAGCTTAAATTTGTTCATGGCCAGATTATATCCATTTGTTCTTGTGCCAGCAGTGTCCTTTAGCTTAAATTATTCACCCGCCTGATGCATTTATAGAAAGCAATTATATTGCCTCTTTAGCCTTCTTTTTGCTAGGCTAAACAAACCAAGCTCTTCCAGTCTCCTGTCATAAGATAGGCCCTCTATTCCTTTGATCATCCTAGTATCTCTTCTCTGCACCTGTTACAGTGTGAATTTATCTTTCTTGAACATGGGTGACCAGAATTGTACACAGTATTTCAAATGAGATCTTACAGTGCCTTGTACAATGGCATTAAAACTTCTCTGTTTCTACTAGAAATGCCTCATCTGATACATCCAAGGATTGTTTGTCTTTTTCATAGCTGCATCGCATTGGTGGCTCATAGTCATCCTGTGATTGACTCCCATACCCAGGTGTCTCTCCTGCATTGCTTCCAAATGATGAGCCCCCCCAATTAGCAGCAGAAATTCTTATGATTAGATCCCAGGTGCATGATCTTGCACTTTGTACTATTGAATTTCATCCCATTTCTGTTACTCCAGTCTTCAAAGTCATCCGGATCTTCCTGTATAATATTCCGATCCACCCTTGTGTTGACAATGCTACACTGAAGCCAGCTTTGCATCATCAGCAAATTACTACATTGGCTTACACAATATACTTTTTGTAGTACCATTTACCAATGTTCCAGAAAGGGCTCTTATTTGATACCATATTTTATAGTACCTAACTGCCAAATAGCAGGTTTGCTGTTACACCAACAGTAAAACTCCTGATTTTACTTTATCCCTTTGCTGTTACAAAATAATATTCAGTGTGTCTTTTATTATTATTATTATTATTATTGCTGCTGTTCACTGGGCTATTTTCAATGAATTTTTCTGAAGAACTCCCAAGTCCTTCTCCTGATCAGTAGACAGGATGATAGCTTTGTTTAGCATGTACTAATCCTTTCTCCCACAGTAAGGGCTAGATATTCAGTTGGTGTAAATTGGCATAGCTATATTGAAGTCAATGGATCAACATCAGTTTATATCAGCTGAGAAGGGACGTCAGTGCAACTATGCTGATTTACACGAGCTGAGGATAAGGGTTATGTGCCTGTAGGCACAGCAGAGAGTAAGGGCTGGTGTATAAATTGTACCATCCAAGGAGTAATCCCAGGGTGCACTGTACCTCTAAGGCACTATTCTTCCTTAATTCTCCAAAACAAGTGCTTTACTGCTCTTTTTTACAAAAACAAATAAATAGCGTCATTCTAGCCCTTAGAAGCAACCCTAAAGGAACAACAACATTTACAAGGAAACAGTTTTCATAGGTTTAATCTACCAAAGCTTCACAACAAATATATTTTAGAAAATGCCTTTAAAACCAGTGGGAAAATATCTTGAAATGTCTTTAAATTTTATAGTATCAAAAGCTCCCAAATGAAAATACATCTGCATTATTCACCTGGAGAGCGTAACAGAATAATCATGCTATATTTACCTTTTTCTGGGTTGTCATTAAATAAGATAAAAAAGGAAAATGTTTTAAGAACCACATGGGCATTACCTGTGACAGTAAAGTTTTTAGAGAAAGGAGACGTCCTTGACTGGCTGCCTCATGCAGTGGTGAACGATCTGCCCAAGAACCTACAGAATAATATTTATTGAAAAAATTACAGCAATTAGAGTGATTTTAGAATGCACAGAACAAAACAGAAGTGGTTATGCTAAAAATAAAGTAAAAGGTTCTATTAAATGAATTATTCTCATTTTGGACTAAGTGTCTTAAATACATGTATTCTTTCCTGGACACTAAAAAGAGCAGACAGGCTACACGGCTAATTTTAAACATCTACACTGAGTAATTCTGCAATATGAAGGCGAAAAAGTTTCTACATGGTATTTTTTATTAATGTATTTTAACAACTTCAGCAATATTAATGGTATTGGTCTACCAGAGCCTTGTATATTTTCTACAGAGTATTGTATAGGTATATCAAAATCTACCAGCTTCAACAGGAAGCACAGACATATTGGATTGAATATTTGAAGCAAAAATGAGGACCACACACACCTTCAGAAACATTCCTGAAAAAAAGGAAAAGCTGTTCTAAAAAAAAAAATTAACATTAAAATGTCTATGGTTGATAAGACCAAGCTGAAGCCTCCAACCCCCGCTTCCCTCATGAAATCTATATGTAAGTCCCTGAGAAGAGAGTTCCCATGGTAGAAATAGGTTTTTAGGGCTAAATTCTTCCCCATGGACCAAATCCAAGTAGTTGTGTTTCTTGATGCAAGGATATTTTACAGGGCTTGGAAAGAAAATCCTAGCTTCTGCTCCAGGCCACACAACCACTCTGCTTCTTCTATTGAAGCCCAGAGTGTGCCCATGCTGTTGTGACCCTGTTCTACAGGGTTCAGCTCTACTGCGTGGGCTTTTGCAGGGAAACCCATACAGGTGGACTCTCCAGTATACAGGCGATGAGAATCCCTGGCACAGGCTCTCAAAACTACTTGTTTTCCTCATCCAGCACAAGTAAACCAGTTCCACTATATCTTAGGCCCTTTGTGGCTGAAGAGAAAGAGGTGGGATTTGCCTCTTGGTTTCTAAATGGGAAGGAGTAATTGAGAACCCACTTTACCTTTTTTATGTATAATTTAGAGATGGTGCAAGTTTGAGGGTTCTGTGAAAATGATGCTCATATTCTTATTGAAGAAAGGCAGACCACTGACTTAGGGGCAAATCCAGCCGTCACTTCCACAGCCACAGAGGGCCCTGGCAGCAGAACTGGTTCCATTCTGTTTCTTTGTGTAGGGAATCAAGATTTGAGGGGCTCTGTAGAAATCCTCCTACACTTTTTTGTGGATCCTCTGCTGATTACTTCTATGAGAGAGCCTCAAGGTAGGAGAGCTGCAGAATGCTCATGTACCAACTGGCCTGCAGCAACATTGCAAACACTTACAACATAGGGAGAGGATTCTTTTCTGCCTAATTGTCTGGGGTAGGTGCAGGATTTAGGATTTGGTCATTATTCTGCAACATCTTGCAGGAAATTTAAGTTTGATTCTCAGTCCCATTTTCTTACTGCCTAGGCTCATTGCAGGAATACCACAAAAGCAGTATGCTCAGCACATGGGGTCAGAGAGACCACCATGTCATTGTCATTTAATAACAATCCCTTGATTGATTGATTTTATTGAGTAGATGCTGTGACTACTCAGAGAGTATTGCAATCAGTGTGAATTGCAATGGAACTTCAGCTCAACCCGCTGAACTATTCTATGGATTTGTTTGGTTATTGTTGTTATACAGTGTTGAAACCACAGAAAGTTTACAGCCTGTAGAAAATAGAGTTCCCTCTCCTCCATCACACTTTTTCCTCTTTCAATTCTCCCTCTGATCATCTTGTTTCTGAGTGATAAACTTGTTATTGGAATTAATTGTATGAGAAAGTAGAACACGAAGTTCTAGACACAAGGTTTTGTAATATTACTGTACTGCATCAGATATATTCCAGACATACTTTTCATCAAGCTGAATAGTTAATGTTGTCTGTCTTAAAATGGGAAGCTTCTACAAATTACCTGCCCATTTTTACTTTTTATGTAACTACTTAACAGTTGCAAAGGAGTATGGTGCCTTACCAGTCTGTTAGGATTCTTTGAATGTGTCAATAACGTAGTGAATAAAAGTAAACCGGTTGACATAATTTATTTAGGCTTTCAAATGACCTTTGACAAGGTCCCTCACAGGAGGCTATTAAGAAACATTGTAGTCATGGGTAAGAGGAAATGCATTACCGTGGATCAAGAACTGGCTAAGAGAGAAAAAAAGTAGAAATAAATTGTCAAATCATGGCAAAAGGTTAACAGCAAGATTCTGTTCTAGGATTGGAGATTAATATATACATTAATGATCTGGAAAAAGGCATGAGCAGAGATCTGGAAAAATGTGCATATAACAAAATTACTTTGGGCTTGTCTACACTTAAAACGCTACAGCAGCACAGCTGCGCCGCTGTACCGCTTCAGTGTAGACACGACCTATTCCCAACACTAGTGATTCTTCTGTCAGCATAGGTAATCCACCTCTCTGAGAGGCAATAGCTAGGTCAACAAACGAATTCTTCTGTTGACCTAGCACTGTCTACACAGGGACTTAACTACACTGCTCAGACGTGTGGATTTTTCAGACTTCTGATGGATGTAAAATCAGTTTCACACATACAGAATGGGAAGAGACTGTCTAGGAAGGAGTACGGCAGAAAGGGATCTAGGGGTTATAGTGGACCACAAGCTAAATATGAGTCAACAGTGTGATGCTGTTGCAAAAAAAGCAAACATGATTCTGGGATGTATTAACAGGTGTGTTGTGAGCAAGACACGAGAAGTCATTCTTCCGCTCTAACCTGCTCTGGTTAGGCCTCAGCTGGAGTATTGTGTCCAGTTCTGGGCACCGCATTTCAAGAAAGATGTGGAGAAATTGGAAAGGGTCCAGAGAAGAGCAACAAGAATGATTAAAGGTCTTAAGAACACGATCTATGAAGGAAGGCTGAAAGAACTGGGTTTGTTTAGTTTGGAAAAGAGAAGACCGAGAGGGGACATGATAGCAGTTTTCAGGTATCTAAAAGGGTGTCATAAGGAGGAGGGAGAAAACTTGTTCACCTTAGCCTCTGAGGACAGAACAAGAAGCAATGGGCTTAAACTGCAGCAAGGGAGGTCTAGGTTGGACATTAGGAAAAAGTTCCTAACTGTCAGGGTGGTTAAACACTGGAATAAATTGCCTAGGGAGGTTGTGGAATCTCCATCTCTGGAGATATTTAAGAGTAGGTTAGATAAATGTCTATCAGGGATGGTCTAGACAGTATTTGGTCCTGCCATGCGGGCAGGGAACTGGACTCGATGACCTCTCGAGGTCCCTTCCAGTCCTAGAATCTATGAATCTATGTAGTTAAACTGAACTAATTTTCTAGTGTAGATCAAGCTTTAGCAAAGTCAAGTCCAGAAAGGACTTTGAGAAATTTCAGAGGGCTCTACCCAAGCTTAGTGAATTGGCAACATGATGACATATGAAACTGAATGTTGATAATATGCAAAGTAATACACATTAGAGGAAAAATACAAGCTGCTGATCCATCTTACTGGGTTCTAAGTTAACTGTATCAACTCAGGAAAACACTTGGGTATCAGTGTGGACTGCTCAGTTAAGATCTTGGCTTTGTCTACACTAGCACTTTTGTTGGCAAAACTTTTGTCAGTCAGGGATGTGAAAAACACCCCCCCGACCAACATAAGTTTGGACAGTGCTTTGTCAGTGGAAGATGCTCTCCCGCCGACATAGCTACTGCCGCTTTTTGGGAGTGGTTTAATTATGCCAGTGCGAGAGCGCTCTCCCACTGGCATAGAGTGGCTATACAGGAGACCTTACAGTGGCACAACTGCAGCGGTACAGCTGTGCTGCTGTAAGGTCCATAGTGTAGACATATGTGCAGTTGTAGTGGGGGGAAAAAGCCAACAAAGTATGAGGATACATAAGGAATGGAATGGAGAATAATATGAAAAATATAATGCTATTATATAAATCAATGGTGTGCAATACTTATCACTCCATCTCAAAAGGATATTGCAGCTTTGAGGGAGTTTAGTGATGTGTGATGAGAATAATTACAGCCCTGGAAAAACTTATATGAAGAGAGATTGAGATTGCTTACTTTAGAAAGAAGATGAATAAGAGGGGACACGACAGAAGCATATGAAATGAGTGGTATAGAGACGGCAGATCCAGAGTTTCTGTTTTCCTCTCATAACATGAGAGCAAGGGTGGATAATTCAAAACTGATAAAAGGAAATATTTTTTCATCCAACACATGATTAGTCTGTGGAACCCTCTGCCAAATGATAGCACTGAGTCCAAGAACTCAGCAAGATTCAAAAAGAAATTGGATTTTTAGATAGTTGGCAAGAATATTGAGTTATATTAATAAATACTAAAAAACAAAGATTTACAAGTGATATAAAGCCTCATGCTTCAGGTCTTAAATTTGTCTTGAACTCGTAGGAATTAGGAGGAGACTCCCCTATCCAACATCAACCTACTGTGGGGCTTCTTGCACCTTCTTTTGGAGTATGTGGTGCTAGCCACTGCCTGAGACAGGATGTTGGATCAGATGGACCACAGGTCTGAGCCACTGTGGCCGTTCTGATTTTCCTATTAAGACAGCCATACTCTGCTATTCATTTTGGATGATTTGCTATAATTGTTGATACATATCCTCGCTCTATATTATTTGATTTAAAGTTAAACTCATTTTGCAATTTTTATTTTTAGTGACAATAGCCAAAGAGTTAAAAAAGATGACTAGTGATTTTAGGTGCTTTAACTTTTTAGTAACCACCTTGGAGACACCTTGAAGAGTTCTGATTTTCAGAAAGTGCTGACCGTTCACCCCCTCAAACTCAAGCTCTTGTAAGGTATTTAAAATAGGGTACACAAAATCGCCATCACTTTTGAAAATCTTGGCCAATATTTTTCTTTATTTTTTATAGAATAAATAACTAGCACTAAAGTGAGTCAAGATCTCAAATAATGGTTACACCCACAAATCAGGTAGTAAGTAAAAGTTCTCTTCTTGTGACTGCAAATGATT